TCGGAGTGGTTGTTTATCGAATAAAAGCAAATAAAATCAAAAACTATTGAATAAATTAGAAGCTTCATATTTAAGGTTCCTTTAAAACATAGGTATTTAAAGGTGTTTTAAGGTATCTTCTTAAAACAAAGTTGCTTAAATTTTTGTTTTGGAACATTAATTGCAATGAAATATTAAAATTAATTTTGTTTTGGAATAAAATTTTGAAAAAAATGTAATTAAGGGCTATTTACACATTTAAACAGCCATTTTGAAAAATTTTCAAACATGATAGTAAAAGTTTCACAAATGCTAATAACTCCGAATTTTCAGGGTAAATTAGCTATTGGCTAGGGTTTCTACCATGTTGGTGGAAAACGGAATATTCTTTTGAAGATACTCAATTTCTTTTTGTAAAATAATAAAATAAAGTCCCCAAAAAAATACAGATAATGCTCTTAAAATAAAAAAATAAAAAAAAAAAAGATATTTAGTGAGGTACAAACACCATATTTTTATATATTTTATAACACAACAAGGAATAACAAACATAAAAAAGTTGCTCATAAAATTGTATAATAAAATAATCATAAAATTGTTATTATTCTAAAAACCACTATCAGAATATGATGTCCCTACTTCATTATATTTGTTTATAACCCTTTTTTTTTATAACTTTTACCAACTTTAGTTGGTATAAGAATAATCATAAAAAGTTTTTCTGTTAACATCTGATGTGGAAATCTTTTTTGTCATATATTAATTATCAAATTGTAACTTGTAATTAATTATCAAATTGCACTTGTAAAACTTGCAATTGGTGATTAAGTTTTTATTCTTTCGTTACATGTGTACTAACTGCCTTTGAACTTATATTAAGGTTCTTTAATTGTGCAATAAGTCATTTTTTTAATGACTTATTGCACAATTTTTTAAAAAGATAAAAACAAACTTGTAATAAAAATAGTCTTTAAGCAAGCATGCAAATAATCAAAAGATGTAATATTATTATTAAAATTTAAACTGGAAAACTTATCCTAAGATTTTTTTGAGCACTGGTAAAACAATAGGCAAATATGATGAAAAAAACTGGACATAAAAGTTAAAAAATCAATAAACTAACTCGTTGCTATAGTGATTGCTAGAGAAGTCTGAAAAACTGTTTCTGTTGTGCACTAAAATAATTTTTTTTAAAAAAACAAAATCAATTTACAACAAACTGTTTTCACATAACCAATCTTCGTTAAGAGGGCACAACCTTATTTAAAAAGTGTAAATTATTGAAAAAATTAATTTTTCAAAAATACACTTATTTTAACTCAAATTTATCGTAGAAACTATTGCTGATTTTTAATTTTTTAATCTATGCTGATATTGGTCAAAATTTCATTTATTTAGATGTACATTATTTAAAATACCCTAGCAACGCGCATAGCAACCGTTTTTAAATGTTGTTATTCACCTTTTTTCTTTTTTAAAAGTTGATTTCGGCTTTTTGTTTGTACAGATGGCTTTTTGTTTGTACAACGACGTAATAAGCTTAATGGAAGTTATTTTACTAGTTAAACTACTAATTTGACAGACTGGTCTTGGTAGAATGTTTGTTTATTTTATACAAAATTGGTTTAAACATATTTTATTTTCCAGTATTATAACAATGTAGTATGCTTTATAAAATAATCTCGATGCTGTTTTGCTATGTATCTATCTATGCTTTTATAAGCTTTCTATCTATTGCTTTGTATATTTACTTAACTAGTATAACTAAAAAGTTGAAAAATATTTACAAATTGAAATGGAACCATCTCGTAAGTTTCAATCTAAAAGACATAAAAGTAGGAAGTTTTATGGCAACCAACACTCGAAAAATTTTACTGAAAACTCTAAAGTTACAAATAAAGAAAACATTGCAACAACAGTTTCTTATAAAAAGTTAAACGCAAAAAATAATTTTGAGATGAATTGCAGGCAGGATATTTTGTAAATAAATTTTAATTTTTCATCAATGCATTATTGAGAGTAGTACAGTTGATAACATTAGATTTTTGAAGCTGGAAGTCCGAGTTCAATTCTTGCTTAAAACAAAATTAACATTTTGTGAAAATTTGTTTTATTTCAACATTACTTATTTTTATTAGTATTAACTATAATTATTTTTTGTAAATTATTATATTTTTCTTTTTAATTACGATTAGTTTTGAAATTTAAGTTTAATAGGTGCATTAAAGTGTACATACATCAACTGTTATAGCTGTAGGCGAAGTGGAGTATAGGTACGTTGACTGATTTAGGGATAGGCGAAGCGGAGTGTACATACATAGACCAACTTAAATAAGGATAGACACAGTGTAGTAAACTTATATTGGTTGAATTAAATAAGGATAGGTACAATGGAGTTTAAAGAGTGTAAATCGACTGGGGTTTTGGTTTCTGACAGCCTAATAATTAAAAAAATTACTTCTTTTATTTTTCCACTGCCGGAAGATGGTTTATAAAAATAAATAAATAAAATTTTATTTTTCCACTGCCGACATTAACTTACTAAAATCAAAATTGCGCTGCCGGCAATTAATCCCAGAATTATTTGCCGGCACTGCCAGCAATTACCGCTTGCCAAAGTTAAATGGTTCAATGGTTAAAGTTGTTGATAACAACTGCTGTTCAAGAAACATTACAGGAAACCGAACTGTTGATATGGAATTGTTAGCTGAGATTTTTAAGATTGTTTTGTGCCCAGAGTGCTCACATAATTTAGTAAAACTGAATCAAAAGCAGAAATTAGGAATGGTTTTCGAACTTGAATTGAAGTGTGCTGTATGTGGTTGGTTTAAATTGTTTTGGACTTCCAAAAAAAGATCAAAAACAAAAATTTTCGAGATTAATAGTAGAATGTTTTACAGTATGCTTAGAATAGGAAAAGGTTATCAATCTTTGAAACTATTTCTTATATTACTAAATAATGGTATTGTTGCGGCAATTTCTATTGACACAGGTCGAGTACTAGATATAGAGGTAATGAGTAAATATTGCCAGGCTTGTATTAATGTCAGAATATGGAAACATTCAAACGAAGAGAAATATGCAAGTTTTAAAGCAGGCCATACTTGTATAAACAATCCATGGATCTGCACCATCAATGAAATTGGTTGGCACAGAAAAAATTTTTAATCGATCTATAGAATTAAATAAAATACAATACACTGAGTTTTATGGGGATAGGGATTCAAAATGTTGTCTGTTGAAAATGTTTATGATGGCATAAAAGTGTTTAAACAAGAAACCATTGGCCATGTCCTGAAGCGTGTCGGAACACGATTGCGTGAATTAAAAAAGAGAAGGGACTAGGAGGGAAAGTTAACTGATGCAAGGTATTGATAAGCTGAAAAACTATTATGGTATTGCAATACGTTCATTTTTCCACAATTTTTAAACTTTTAAATTTAGTCAAAAAATCTAATTTTGTAATATTTTACAAAATAAGTCTTTTTTAGAAACACCATTAACATCATTTAGTTCATGGTAAATTATTTATAGATTTTATTTGATTAGATGTGCCATATTATATGACTTCCTTTTTTAGATGATTATAAAGTAATTAAATTTTATTTTATTTATCAATCAATTACCAAGTAATTATTTAACATTTATTAATTAGTTAAGTAAATATAACGATCCTGCAAAGTAACAGGATAAAAACTAATATTTACAACATCAGAAATCAGAAGCAATAATTTAATGATGAGGAAATAAAAGGTTTTATTTAAAAAAGAAAAAAAAATGTCTTTTTTATAAATATAGCTTTTTACAAAAATTGTCTTTTATAAATGCACTTGGATTGCAACCTAGTAAAGCTTTATACTTAAAAAAAATGTCGGTCCTTTACAAAAAAATTAATAAATTTATTATTTCTAATTATTGCTCTAAATGGCCTTCAAATAGGTTTAAAAACACAATTTTTAATGAAACAAAATTTTATTAATTTTAGAAAAATTTTCAATTTGGAAAATATTAACTTTTATTTTATTTATATATATATATATATATATATATATATATATATATATATATATATATATATATATATATATATATTTTTTTTTTTTTTTTTTTTTTTTTTTTTTTGTGGGGGAGAAGGGGAATAGGGGGGAGGGAAAGAGGGACAGGTAGGAAGCCTAATTGATACTTCCCCACCCTGCCCTCCCTCAACTAGCTTCAGGGCTACCCTAGGCACAAAAAAAATAAATAAATAAATGAAGTATAAATTTATTTTTGCCCTCAAAAAGACTTTAACAATAACTTTTTACAACATAAAATGAGCAGCTGTGGTGCAGGGGTTAGAGTTCTGGCTCAGAACCCAGAGGTTCAAGGTTTGACGCCAGCTCTAGCCCAACAAGTGACATTGGTACAGAAGGAGGTGTGAACTTCTAGTTAAATGCTCTCCCGCAGTGCTCTGTGATAAGACTATAACAATTTCTGGGAGCACCAAAAAAATATCAAGATATAGCTAATTTTATCATAAGTTAGCAATAAATTTTATGCTGACTCAGCATATAAACTTTACTTGAAAGGCTGTATTTAGTAAAGTCAAAAAATGCAATAATATATTTTTTAATAATAGTTATGTTTGATAACTATATTGTAAGTTAAAACAATGCCTAAAAAATTATCATGGTGACATCACCATTTGACCATCAAAATACCCCAAAATATATTCCTTTATTATCTAATTTACTGTAATTAAGGTGGTTAAAAAATTTTCTAGATTAGGTTTCTTAAAATGAATACATTGAAATTTAAATATTGAAATGATTTTAATTTACTATTCCATTAATAAAAATGTATTGTTTCATTGACAAAAGAAATTTTATTAATAATTCTTTGTTTTTATGTTATCTATAATCTGATGCAAGAAACCTGTGTTTCTTGAATAAAAAAAAAATCATTCTTAGTTTAGAATTTAGAAAGAACCAATGCTGCTTAAAAATCAATATATATACTAATACAGTAATTTACCAACATACAATGATGCTTAATTGATGTCCTTTCATGTAGATCCTTTGGTGATCCTTTACACTGATCCTAGTTCTTTAGTGTGATTTACTAAACACAAGATTAAAAAATAAAAACACTTACTCATAAACACCTTTTTCGATTTAAAATACACTAACTAAAACTATTTTAAAAATAAAAAATTGAACTTGATTGTGATCTATGTTTTCACACTTTAAAAACATACCACATAATAATTGTTATTTATTTTAAATAGCAAAAAATTGGAAATGAAGTTTATAAAAGAATTTTTTTAAATATGTCCAAATCCAAATAACTAAAACTTGACACACACATAAGACTTTTTTCATATACTATTAACACTGAAGATAGTTATTAAGTGATAGTTATTCATATTCATATCATATTACGCTGTAATATGATATGAATATGAATGTATGCTTATTATTTTTTAGTTTTGTCAAATTTAATATTTTTTATTACAATATGATTTAAAAAAAGGGGATATAATACATTAATGTAATAAATATAATGCATTACATTTATGATAAGGATGTATTTATACTAATAGTATAAATAATATCTTATAATATCTTATAAATTAAACTTATACTGAGTATTATATATTATGTTAGAGTAAATTCTATTATAATAAAAAAATATTCAATTTGATAAACAATATGATAATGTAATTTACAGTATGAATGCTGTAAATTACAGTATGAATGTAATTTACAGATTTACGGTATGAATGCATTCATTTCATTTCTATACTTTTTTTTTTTTAAGTAAAAAGTTACGCTTTAAAGAAAATTTACACTTTTTATTATAAAAAAAATAGGCGGTAAAAACAACTTTGGTCTTATCATCACCAATGTTTTCTTATCACTTGAGCAGTATATCATTATTTTTTTCGAAAAGTGAGTAATGTCATAACTATTCCATTATTTTTATCAAGTTTGAACATAAATACAAACACATGATAAAGATTTAAACAAAAAAATTATAAATAAAACCTTGAACACTTAGAACACTTGCTTCACAATTAATTGTCTATTATATTTAGTATTCAATAGTTGTTATTTTTAATACATTACTTGACATCAAAGAACATTACTAAGCACTGTGCTCAGTGGTTAGAACAAGAAAATAAAACGTCTTCAGCGCCAATAATCATAATGTTAAAATGTCACATGGATGGCATTTACTAATGTTTACTTATCATCTCGCAATGTTGACATTTCGATGTTAAATGGCGTCAATTTAAAACTTTGATCAAGGTCGTCCTATTAAAAAAAAAATAAATAAGTCGTGATTATGTTTGCGACACCCGATTTATAGTCATACTTTGAAAATTTGATAGTATAATTATCAAGTAGGCCCCGGATTTGAAGACGTTTTATTTTCTTGAGAAGTCCTAAAACGAATGTTAAACGCAACGGTGTTCTAAGCAAAACAAGGTTTATCATCTAGAGGACACATAAAACATCAACATTGCAAAACGGGTGATACCAAACAGGGGCGTATCCAGCACTTTTTGGTCTTTGAGATAGATAACTTCTAGACATGGAGCAAACTCCGAAAATTTATATGCTTATACTTATGTCCAATAAGGATGGTTTGCATAAAATTGCGATGATTGGAGCCTGGGAACAAAAAAGCCCCAAAATTCGAGACGTCCCTGCCCCAAACGTGTGAGCAACAAGTTGACAAAATATTTTTTGTACTGTTCTCAAATAGACTTATATTTATCAATAAATTTTAAATTTCATAGTAAAATATTTTAGTGCTCAAAAACTATAACTATATAAAATTTGTAGCCCCCTCAAATTGAGAGGGTTTAATTTATCAATAAATATGAGTCTAGTTGAGAATAGTACAAAAAATATTTTGTCAACTTATTGCTCTCACGTTTAGGGCAGGGGCGTCTCGAATTTTGGGGCTTTTTTGTTCCCAGGCTCCAATCATCGCAATTTTTTGCAAACCATCTTTATTAGACTTAAGTCCTAGTGGACACAAGACGTAATTAAGACTTTTAAAATGTATTAATATGTGTTAAATACGTCCTGTGCCCACAGGGGTATAAACATATAAATTTTTGGAGTTTGCTCCATGTTTAGAAGTTATCTATCTCAAAGACCAAAAAATGCTGGATCCGCCCCTGGCAAAAGTACAGCTAATAACGCTGGCAATTTTCTTAAACTGTTAGCTCTATTAACCAAATATGATCTTACTTTGGACAATCATCATTGGTATGAAAAAAGGAATGAACTGTATTTAAGTCATGATGTACAAAATGATTTAATTCAATTACTTGCTTCTGAAATTTCATTCACAATCAATGATGAAGTTAAAATAGCCCAGTTTTTTTCTTTAACTATTGATTCAACTATTGATATTTCTAGAATTGATCAGATGCCAATTTCATTACGATTGGTTTCAAAATCAGATAACGTTATGGAGAGATTTATAGACTTCTATACTATAGAATGCAGCAACGCTGTAGCATATGCTAAGTTAATTATATCTGAGCTTGAAAAACGAAACATCGGTTTTAAACTCTGCAGAGGACAAGCATATGATGAGATATCTGGAATTAAAAGTAGTCTTCAAACTTGGATAAAAGCGCTTTCACCAAATGCCATCTATGTTCACTGTTGTGCTCATGTTTTGAATCTGGTTACCATCGAAGCAATGTCTGTAAACAGTTGTTTTTCGACACAGCTAAAAAGTTGTAAACATACCTTATGTCTAGTTTACCACAGCTTCATATTCTCCAAGAGCACCAGAAACGTTTAAATAAATCAACAGTTGATACTCTGAAACAACTTTCTGATAAAAGATTGGCAAGCAGGAAGCATGCAGTTGATGTTGTTGTTGAATCTTTTTTTGCTATTCTAGCCACTCTAGATGATATAAATCTCGTCGAGTCGAAAGAACATGTAGGGAGTGTTAGAGCAGAAGCTATTGCACTATCAGTTTCAATATAAAAAAAGCACTCATTTGTCTTTCTTATAGTTTTTTTGCAAAAGTTGATAAAAAACCTTTTTGTGTTATCAAACTATTAGCAAGAAAAATATTATTTACAAAACATTTGATAATACAAAAAAAAGTTTGTCCATATGAAAAGTGAACTTTCGATGTTTTTCATTTAGCAGTCAAATCATTTGTTAGAATAAAATGTGATAGATGCAGAAACTGAATTAAAAGAAAGGCAAGTTGCCAAAAAGAAATGCATGGCTGGAGAGCTGTTGAGTCAATGATCCAACTACACGCTTTAAAAATAAAACCTACTTCAATGTTTTGGATAAAATAATAACCCAAAAATAAATGAATAACTTCGAGACTTTAGTAACACAGTTACACATTTTGATTGCAAGAACCCGTCAACATTATCCGAGAAAAATATAAATTCATTTAAAAATTTATGTGAAACTTATTGCAACGACAAAGAAGCAGTCGTAAAGTATGAGACTTTCAAAGATGTGTATGCATCAATATCTCCATCACTGACAACTGATCTACAAATGAAAGACGTGCTTCCATTCTTGGTTGAAAAACAGATGGCACCCGGTCTTCCAAACTTGTCTATACTTTACAAAATCTACTTGATTCTTCCTGTTGCATCTTCTAATGCTGAGAGAAGTTTCAGTTGATTAAAGGTTATAAAAAATTATTTTAGATCAACACTGACAAACGAATTTCTTTTTGGATTACCATTAGTTTCTATTTAACGTTAGCATGTTGAATGCATTGACTTTGACTTTTTAGATAAATTGTTTTGCTTTAATAATATCTTGCAGAAAAACATTTTATAAACTACCTGAAAAGTATCTTTCTTTTTTAATGCTTACTTTTGTGATTTGTCTTGTTAAATAGATTTTTAAATAACTGAACTATTTCATTAATATTAAATGTTTCTTATTTTATAAAAGATAATTGTTAACTAAAATGAAGGAAGTAAACTCAAAATTTAGGTTGTTAGTGCCTTACATGTATGTAATAGTTATGATAAAAGTCACATAAAACCACCTATAAAATGTTTTAATCATAAGTGCGATCTTCTGGGGTTTAAAGTACCACACCCAACCTCGGTTGCCCTCTACTCATTGGCTGGCCCCCCACCCCCTTCCACAACACTAAATCTCAATCTGCCACTTTATTTAATACTTTAAGAGATTGTAGCAGTTCTTTAGATGTTTAAAGAAATTATTTTTATTTTGAGGGGGTTTTAAATTTGTGCGGCTGTGGCGCAGTAATCTTCCAATTTAAATGCTCTTCCGTGGTGCTTTGTGACAAGACAGTAAGATCTTCTTGGCGTACCTAAAACAAAAATTAAAAAAAAAATTTACATAGTCATAACTTTCAAATTTTGTCAAAAAGATTTTTGACAAAATTTGAAATCTATCGTTAAATATAAATTTAGTTTAGATTAATGATAATATAAAACTCTTGAAAAATAGTGCTCGCGCATTCAGGGTTGGGCAGAAAGGGGGGTTTAATAAAATAAATTTTAGGAATTTTATCGTTCCCAGGTTCCAATCAAAGCAATTTTACTTAAACATTCTTATTTAATACCTTAATAAACATGTCCACGTTTGAAGTTTGCTCTGTCTATTTTTCGATTTATTTATTTATTAATTTTTTTTCAGGTATAAAATATAAAATACAGTTATCATCGTGAAAAAAAGAAAAAGCATATACAAAATTATAACGTATCAGAATAAATGAGTAAAGTATTGATGCAAACTTTAATTTAAATTTTGGTATAATAGCTGTTAAATATATTTTTCCAAATTATAAAACCTAAAAAAAATTCCGTAAAAAGCCCCATTTGGCATATAACTGTCCATGTAAAAAGTTAATTAAAAAGCTATAACTTTTTTGTAATTAGCTTTGTAATTACTATTTCCACTGTTTTTTTTTTCTATATTCGATATTCTATTTAAGTCTTTCAGTTTTTGATTTTTCAAGTTTTTCCATGTTTTTGGGTCTTGTGACGTAAATGAAAATTCAGAATACCGGTTGTGACATAATTGAAAAATCAGAATACCGGTTGTGACGTAACTGAAAATTCAGAATACCGGGTTTTAGTTTTTTTAATATAATAGTTATGGAAACCATTTGATCGCAAATTATAACTTTGAAAAAGTGATGTGGAAAATATGTCTAAAAATGAATTTGGTAGCATATTACTTCTATATTTAAATATAAAAATAAGAATTAAATATTTATTAAGTTTTTCCAAGTTTAAGACTTTTATATTTATCATCACAGAAGGATTGTCCATTCTAGTATGGTTTTCAAAACCTTGTAGTTGGATTAATTTTGCTTTGTGTGTGTTTCCATGAAAAAAGTTCTATAGAATTTCTATAAACTTTTGAAACATATAACCTATAGAAATTTTATAGAGTTCTATAAAATTTTTATAAAATTTTAGTTATTTTTATAGAAACTGCTATAAAACTTTTTTTCTATATAAATACATGTAGAAAAAAAGGTTTTATAACAATTGCTATTAAAATTAATGGATGTTTTAAAAAAATTCTATAGAACTTTATAGAATTTTTATAAGTCATATGTTTGAAAAGTTTAAAGAAACTCTATACAACTTTTTTTTCCAGGGTTAGCCCACACTATATTAGCATATGTGAGATGACTAGAATTAGACAAAAGTGAAGTTTTTTTCTTGAACAGAAATCAAGATAAGGGCAAGATTCACAAAAAAATACCTATTGCAGATGATATTTTTCATTCAATATGCCCAATATGATTTCTCCATGATAAATTTTAGTCTATTTGAAAACCAAGAAACATTACATATTTTTCCCGTTTTATCATTATGTTGTTAATGAGCAACTCTGGAACTTTTAACCGTCGAGACATTGATTGACTTTTTTATGAAATAAACTTGTAGTTAGTTTTTTCACAGTTTAAGGATAGTTTCTTTGCTCTGAACCATAATTTAAAGTATTCCAGTTTAGTATTCGTTGTTCCAAATATCGTTTTTAAAATACGATGGTTATAAAACAAAGTAGTGTCACCAGCATACATTATTTAAGTTACTAAAGATGATGCTTTATCCATATCATTTATGTAAATCTAAAAAAATAATGGTTCAAAGCCCTGCCAGATATTCTTTGATACCATGATATTTTAATTTTGAGAGTAAGATACCGTGATCAACTGTATTAAATGCCTATGAAAGGTCTATAAATATTTCCAGTACATGCTCTCCTTTATCAAAAAATTGAAACATTTTATTTGTAAGTTTAATGATGCCATGCTCA